AAACCTCTGCTCTTCTTCAGTACTGCTGGCTTCTTCCCTCATTGCCCCATCAGTTTTCAATAAAGATGGCAAAACATAAGGTCTTTGAGACCTCTGCAAGTCTGCCAACTTTCAGAACAGGCACTCAGTTCAAAAGGTATTAGGTGGCTTAAGGGGAAATCACAGCCTTTTAGAGCACTGGCTCTGGTAAAAGCCCCAGGACTCTTCACAATCTGTTTTTCCAGTATTTTTAGGCATTTAACATTCAAGTCTGTGTTAGCTTGGACTGTTCTGAGAAGACCTTGCATAGTGTGCTCTGATTAAAGAAATTTCCTCATGTTTATTTTTACTGGAAAGCTGGTACCTGCAAAATATCAGGATAATTAGGACTTCAACAAATGGAAACGACGTTTCTTTATTATTCTGTCTGTCTCTCAACTGAAATATCCACATCCACACACTTTGGTTAGTTCTGACGAACTATGTAGAGGTACTAGTTCAAGCAAGTAGAATTAGCTTAACTTAGTGGCATTTAAAATAATCTTACATTTGATTTGTAAATAAAACAATGACAGAATGCTGGGGGTTAGAAGGGACCTCTGGAGATTATTGAGTCCAACCCCCCTGCCAGAACAGAACCACCACAGAATCTAGGGCAGGTCACTCAGAAACGCATCCAGATAGGTCTTTAAAGTCTCCAGAGAAGGAGACTCTACAGCCTCTCTGGGCAGCCTGTTCCAGTGCTCTGCCACCCTTACAGTAAGTATGTTTCTCTTCATGTTGAGGTGGAACTTCCTGTGCTCTAGTTTGCATCCACCGCCCTTTGTCCTGTCACAGGGCACAAATGAAAAGAGATTGGCCCTTCGATCTTGATACCCACCCTTCAGATATTTATATACATTAATAAGATCCCCTCTCAGTCTTCTCTTCTCTAGACTAAAGAGTCCCAGGTCTCTCAACCTTTTCTCATAAGGCCTCATAAGTTCCAGTCCCTTAATCATCTCGTAGCCTCTGTTGGACTCTCTCAAGTAAATCCCTGTCTCTCTTGAACTGGGCAGCCCACAACTGGACACAATACTCCAGATGTGGCCTCATGAGGGCAGAGTAGAGGAGAAGGTGAACCTCCTTCAACCTGCTGGACACACTCTTCTTAATTCACCCCAGAATACCACTGGCCTTCTTGGCCACAAGGGTACATTGCTTTCCCATGGATAACTTGTTGTCCACTAAGACTCCAAGGTAAATCCATGCTGGCTACTCTTGATAAGTTTCTTCTCTTCCATGTGCTTAGAGATGACCTCCAAAATGAGCCACTCCATCAGTTTTCCAGGGATGGAGATGAGGCTGACTGGTCTGTAGTTTCCTGGATGTTCCTTCTTGCCCTTTTTGAAGGCTGGAGTGACACTGGCCTTCCTCCAGTCCTCAGGCACCTCTCCTGTTTGCCATGTCTTTCAAAAATGATGAAGAGTGGTAGAGCAACACCAGCCAGCTCTCTCAGCACATGTGGGTGCATCCCACTGGGGACCAGGGATTTGTGTTCAAGTTACCCAACTGACCTCTAACCCAATCCTCACTGACCAGAGGAGAGTCTGCCTTCCTCCAGGCTTCCTCTCTTACATCCAGGGTCTGGGATGTACGAGGGCTGGTCTTAGGAGCAAAGACTGAGCAAAGAAGGTATCCAGTAACTCTGCCTTCTCAGCATCCTCTGTCACCAGGGCTGCCACCTCGTTCAGCAGTGGGTCCGTATTTTCCCTTGATTTCCTTTTACCAGTGATGCATTTGACAAGCTCTTCTTGTGCTCTTTTACTTCCTTTGGTGGGTTTAGTTCTGAGAGGACTTTGGCCCTTTTATAACATAGAGGGTATAACCTAAATGGTAAGCTTTAAATATCTAGCTCATTAGGCACTAATGGATTCTGATCCAGCACGCACCCCTATACGAAAGTAGCAGAACTGGATGTAATGAATTGATGGTGCAAGTAGTATGCAGGAAGGGAGGGAGATATGCTGAGGTGAAGAGCAAAAAGGAAACCATGTCAGTAACCGAAGGCAGTATTAGTTCCCAAGGGGTATCAGTCCACATTTAACCAAGTCTAATTCTTGTATTATTCAAGCAGTCTCTCTGCCCTGTCCCATTCCTTGCCCACCTCTCCCAAAGGCATCTAAGCAAGTTTAACCACTGGATAAAAAGTCAGCATCAAAGACATCAATTCCCAATGTTTGGGCATTGGTAGTGGGTGGCACAGGGAAAACAAAAAACACCCAGAACCCAGGGTGACTCCCGGTGCCATTGCTGATGTGGATGGAGACTCTGGGTGTCCTGCTACTGCGGCCCCACAATCATCAAGCACCTGGTGTTGTCCACATGGTTTAGACCATACTGCAGAAGAAACAGGATATCGAGTGTTCACTCCTTGCACAAATTTATTCCCTGGTTTGTGCCTGTACCCAGCCTCCACCAGAAATGATGCAAACAGAAAATTCTGCCCTCGGAGTCCCTTCCCCAAAGCCTGAGTGTGCTGCAGTGTGGTGGGCGTGCTTAGGTACGTGGGAGATGCTCCAGCAGAACCTCCTTGTATCTCACTCCCTCTCCTCATGGGAGACCTGATTACTTTTTGGATCAAGTCTCAGGGCAGCATTTGGGGAAGGAGGAGTGTCTTTCTCCTGCCAAAGCATTTAGGTTGCCTTAACTCCTCAGCAAGCATGGGAGAGAGCAAGCTCTTACCTTTGCCAAGATCCTGACTCCTATATCCTCTGTGGTGCTGCCTCATACTTAGTAATTTGCTTTGACAGAATGGTACTGTGGATTTGTATTCCGGGGGCAGCTCAGGTCAGCCAGGTACAGAGGGAGGACAAGGCCTGAGAAGTTATTGCAGGCCGAGCAACAGCCCAGAGGCTTGTTCTTAATTTAGACTTCCAGGACAGAAGCTCAGAACATGGACAATTACCCTTCTGTGCAAGGATGGGAATGAAGCTCTTAAGGAGCTTTGATGCACAGGATGAATTTTGCAATCAGTTTTGATACACGGTATCTAAATCATTAGGAGTACCAACCCAGGAGAACAGATTTCTGAGGATTGCTAATGCATCTGGATTCTCCTTTTCTTCTAGCCCACTGTTTGGTTTTAGGTGAGGTTAGGTGAGTAACTAGAGCCTTCTGCAGTACTTTTAGAAGGTGCTGTTCTTTCAGAGAGATACTATAAGGTCTATGCAGTGCCATGAATCTTCAAATGCGTCACAGAAAACCTCCCCGTTAAATAGTCTTTAAGGGTATTCAATCTTTTGCCTTTATTTTCTGTGCATGCAGAAGGTGCTGTGGATGCAATTCCAGAAGCTGGTGGAACACTTAAAGGTGCTGGGAAACTCAAAGAAAGGATTTACCATTTAGCACTGAGGGATTAAGCTTTTAACCTAAATCTGTACATGAATGAAGGTGTGAACTTTTTATTCCCTCTTTCACAAGTTAGCAGCAAAGATAAGGTCACAGCACCAAAGTGGAAAATAACTACAATTTTACAATATGTCTTCACTTTAACAATGAGACTGCTTTTAGAGGGGTTTTACTATTATTCACAGTTCAGCTACTAATTTAGCAACTTACTTGAAAAGTGGCAAATAAAAGTATCTGAAAAGATGTACAAGCTGCAAATGTGATAGGATTCAATGTCAATATCACAAATCGTGACTGACCCGCTGAGCGATATGTCCTCCCACACTAGTGAGAACACATTATACAGATGTAAAATGGTAAGACTTCATGCATTTTGTATACAGAAACCAGCAGTATCAGTGAACTGCACACCCTACATACGCTACTTAATTGCTCTAAGTAGTGAAGGTCAGATCAAGATACTCAGCCTTCTGTGGTCTTAAGAGTTCCTTGAAAAGATCTTAATCTTGACATCCAAGGTCTCAGCACCCTTGGGCT